TCCTCTTCTTCTTCTTCTTCTTCTTCTTCTTCTTCTTCTTCTTCTTCTTCTTCTTCTTCTTCTTCTTCTTCTTCTTCTTCTTCTTCTTCTTCTTCTTCTTCTTCTTCTTCTTCTTCTTCCTCCTCCTCCTCCTCCTCCTCCTCCTCCTCATTGTTATTGTTATCCTTTGAAGAAAGCACAATAATTTCCAAGCTGAGAAGTGGGCTAGGTGGAGTCCAGAGTCCCTCAATGTTCCGTTGAATTGACTGGATTATATTCAGATAGTTTCAGGAGTCAGTAAGCTGTTTCCCACCGGCCTGTTTTTGTGCTTCTACAGCTTTACTTTCTCGGTCTGGCTTTATTTACTGCGCCATTGCGAGAGCCCACTGTGTGGCATCCTGTATTTCATCGATTCGGAAGAAATGTACGGCACCCCTGCTGTATTTCTCACCAATAAAGGTAAGAGGAAGAAAAAGAGATCCATCTGGCGGGAAACCAGAAGCAGGGACTTCTCCGCGGTGGCTCCCTCCCTCGGGAACATCATCCCTCTGGAAATGAGACCGGTCCTCACTCTGACATTTTTTCGGAAGGCCCTGAAGACGAGGTTCTGCCAGCGGGCCTGGGGAGCCCAGAGTGGGACGGAGCCCATCAAATGACCGATTTGAGTGTGGACGGTCGCCGGGGATGGAGGGGGGGCGAGGTGGTGATTAATTTTATTTTTTTTATTATTTTTGTTTCTTTTATATTGCGTTTTTATGTCCTGTCAGCCGCCTTGAGTTGCCATGAGCGAGTAGGCGGTGATAGAAAATGTCTAAATAAATAAATATACAAATCAACAAATAGATAGGTTAATAAGGAAGTCGGGGATCACATTTCAGGTGATCTTCACATCCAAATGCACCTGGTCAAAGGAGGGGATCTAGCAGGGAAGAGCACGTTCTGCCTTCCTCTGAAGCAGTGGTTGCGACTGGATCTCTCTGTTAATGGACCAGAGGTATGTCTGTCTGTCTGTCTGTCTGTCTGTCTGTCTCTCTCTCTCTCTCTCTCTCTCTCTCTGCATCTCTGTTTCTCTCTCTCTTTCTCTCTCCATCTCTCTTTGTCTCTGTCTCTTTCTCTGTCTCTCTCTTTCCCTCTCCCCATCTCTCCCTTTCTCTCGCTGTCTCTCTCTTTCTCTCTCTATGTCTCTGTCTCTCTGTCTCTCTTTCTCTCTCTGTCTCTCTCTTTCTCTCTCTCTGTCTCTGTCTCTCTCTTTCTCTGTCTCTCTTTCTCTCTCTGTCTCTCTCTCTCTCTGTCTCTGTCTCTGTCTCTCTCTGTCTCTGTCTCTCACTCTCTCTTCTTTCTTTCTCTCTCTCATTTCTGTCTCTGACTCTCTTTCTCTCTCTCTTTCTTTCTCTCTGTCTCTCACTCTGTCTCTCTTTCTCTCTCTGTCTCATTCTCTCTTTCTCTCTCTCTCTTTCTCTCTCTCTCTTTCTTTCTTTCTTTCTTTCTTTCTTTCTTTCTTTCTTTCTCTGTCTCTGTCTCTCTTACTGTCTCTCTGTCTCTGTCTCTGTCTCTGTCTCTCTCTCTCAACCTTGTATGCACCTCCTAAATATGAGTCAGTTCCCAATCATCCGAATGTAAATCACGTGACCCCAGGGAGGCTGCAACGGTCATACGTGTGAAAAAAGGATCATACTTTTCAGAACGAATATTTAACTTTTTCTTTCAGATCGACATCACCGTTGTTGGGAAGAATA